TGTTTTGCATTGTGCTGCTGCTCGCGCTTTTGTAGGCGCGGCGGGCCCGTGAGGGGATTGTTCGTGTGCGCCTGGAGGGCGGCAAGCAGAGGCAGGCTGTGGAGGCGCTCGGCTGGCTGGCTGGCTGAGGGGGTTTGGGTAGCCGCTGCCGTCACACCCCCTCCCACCCTTTCCTCTGGAGAGGGCTCATGATGGCGGCCGCGGCCGCCCCGGCCGTGGTGGTGGAGGTGAGCATAAGCAGCACGGGCAGTAGCAGCAGCGACACTTCCAGCACGGGCGAGGAGGAGAGGATGAGGCGCCTCTTCCAGACCTGCGACGGGGACGGCGACGGCTATATCAGTCGGTAAGCACGGTCCTCGGCTTCCCTCTGTGGTGGCCGCCGTAGAAAGTGGGCAGCTCAACTTCGCCGCAAGTTTCTCGGCTGCTAATTGCACTCTGCAGAATTAGGAGGGGGCGGTGGGAAGTGCCAACACAGCGCGCACCCTCTGGGTCTTGAGCAACGGGTACGGGGAGGGATGAGCATCGGAAGCACCGGCCTCTGCCAAGCTGAGCTTAGGGCGTGCTACAATCTTTCGGGTAAAACAGGGGGTCCCAGCCGTGGGCAGCCCAGGTATTCTTGGGCTGCGACTCCCAGAAACCCCGGTCAGCACAGCTAGTGGGGAAGGCTTCTGGGAGTTGCAGTCCAAGAATACCTGGGCTGCCCAAGGTTAGGAACCGCTGGTGCAGAACCTGAAGGCTGGAAGAATCTTAGAACTAGAGAGCTGGAAGAGACCCCCACGGATCATCCAGTTAAGGAGCCACAGTGAGGAATCTTAACTCCCAACCTCTGGCTCAACAGCCAGATGCCTAAACCACTGAGCTATATCCAGCAGCTTTGGAAGAAACTGTTATACTGCAAGTTGTAACTCCAGTTTCCTGGATTTTACCTGCATTTCCCCAATTTCTTACTATAATTGTAGCTATAAATTGCTACTGAACATTCAAATGCCACTTACAGTATCAGGAAGTTGTGTCATTTGCCATGGAAACATTTTCTACTAACCCTAAATGTAGAAATGCTGATAGTGGCTACTTAACAGGTTGACTCTGCAGGTTGTGAATTTTAACTACAGTTCAAGGCTGTGACTCAAGGGGCAAATACTGTGGGATTAGCTGTGGGTGTGTAAAAAGGATGAATTCACTTTTTCAGTTGATCACGTACTAATGCAAAGGCCAATTCAAACCAGCCATTTTTGCTCAGCACAAGAGTTTTTTCTACTTCTACTTTTTTTAAAGCTGAAATTGTTCAGATGGACTTTTCTGTGTGTAATCAGTTGTTTTGTTGTCCATAAGGAGGGGCAGGTGATTGTGGGTGTTATTTTGGTGATGTACTAAGCTGGGTGTGATCCTTTGGAGAGCAGGGACAACCACCTCCACAATCTTTCCCTTAGTATTGCTTGATTGTTTGCTTGCTTGCTCACTTGCTTGATTGCATTTGTACCCCACCTATCTAGTCGAACGACCACTCTAGGCGGCTATTTTTCGTAGCCTCAAAGTATTTTTTTAATTTTTTTAAAAAAACAAACTATTGAATTTAGCACTGGATCACCATATCACTACATTGATGTACTAGTTTAGTGCTAGATTACCTCTCCATTGTAAAAAAAGAGAGAGATAAGAATTGATATGAATTAGAAACAACTTCGACAAACTTCAGCAGACTGCTATATTTCTACGATATGTGTGTATGTGTCTGTATGTTATGGAGAACTTTGGAAAGCTGTCTGTTCTCTCTGGTGCCATGCAACACTTCTGACAGCCCAAAGGTTTTACAACGAATGATAAAGGAGAGCTGGGGGTTTGCAAAGGGTGGGATCAAAGGAAGGGGAGCTCAGGGATGTGGTGTGCCTCAGACCCGCATCAGAGTGAGCGGCAAGTGTGGACAAAGCAAAACAACCCACAATTTCCATGGATCATCTAGTCCAAACAGAAGTATAAAACTGACTGCAAATGAAGTCATAGCAAAGCTGAATTGCTCCATTTGGGCTTGCCAGTATAGTTGCAACCCAAGTTAAGGTGAGCTGTTAGTTTTGTTTACAGAAAAATCACGGGAATATATTAAAATTTGTTTCATTTTTATCAATTAAAATTAAAGGTTGTTTCACTGTCTTGTCACTGAACTCTGAGTTCCTTTGCCTGAGAAATTGTATACTTTCCTTTATGGATAGCTCAGAACTGCTGGATAGCTCAGTGGCTTAAGTAGAGATTGGGAGTTCAACTCCCCATTGTTCCTCTTTGAGAGGTGCTGGACTCGATAATCCATAGGATCCCTTCCAGCTCTCCAGTTCAAAGGTTATTTTTTTGGGCATGGGGAACTTGTAGTCCTTCAGGTGATGCTGAACTGCAACATCTCTCATCTCTAGCTGGCATACCCAATAGTGAGGGAAGCTTGGAGTTACAACTCAACAGTATCTTCAAGGCTACAAGTTGCATTACTTGTCAGTAGTTTTTTCAGCATGGGTATCTCACCCAAGCATTTCAAGGGGATCACCCCTCACCCAGCTGCCACTGGTTTTCAGCCCAGAACTTTGAGGGAGAATTCTAAAGATCCTTTTGGCAGAATTGGTGTATGCGGGGGCCCCTCCAAACACAGCAGTGAATCAAAGCCATAAACATCATAATCTAAGACAGCGGGCTTAACATAAGGCCATTAAATTCAGAGTATAAAACTGTTTCATTTCACCAGTGTTTGCTGTGTAGCAGCTGTAGTGGTGCTGTTTTTTTTTCTGTGAAGGGAGGCTAATGAATGAAGCCAAGGAGTAAGACCTCACATGAGAGGACTGCATTGCCTTTTGTCAGCATTAATCAGTCTCAACATTAATCCATTAGCCTTTCAAAGGTTGACGTTGGTGTAAAAAGGTTCTGAGCCAAAATGTTCTGCAAGGTTCATGACATTTTGGTGGAGCTGTAAGTGGTGGCACTGCTACATCTTCCATGCTGTAGATACAAAGTAAGAACAATATATTTTGTTGAGATCTTTGTGATTCAAGATACAGATGCTAAGATTGTTGAGGTTTTAAGGTTTGCTGTCCTCATTTGTTGGGAATGAGAAACACAATAGAAAGGAGCTTGTTAAGATAGTGCCTGGATATATGTGCATATGTGTGTACGTAAGGAATGTTCTACTGACTTCTGCTTTTAATATAATTGTTCTGGTGATCTCTGTTGAAATGAATGATGCTTTGGAACAAATAGAAGCAGAATGCTTATAGAGAGCTAAAAAACTTTTATACATCTCTCCAGCAGAACATATCTTATACAGAGAGTGGGATACTGGTGCACAATTACATCAGGGATGGTGCAATAATTAAGATGGATGATATGCATATATCTTCTTTCCATTAGATTAGGCAGAAATTGTTCATCTTCACTTTTTTCCCTTTAGAAGGAAAGAAGCAAAGGAGGAGAAGCAATCCAACTTCTAGTAGTTAGTTCCTAATTCTAGTTTTCACTCCAGAAATCTGTCTTCACTTTCTATAGCAGACATGATGGGAATTCAGTTTGCATCATGATCATGAAGAGAGTGGGTTCAGTGGTTTTATGGTTTTTAAATGTTAGGGAATTGGTAAGATGGATGCTTTCATGTTGTGGAATTTAGTGCTTTTCTGTACTGTTAATCTACCAACACCTGTCTGTTTGATTTGATATTGCAAAGCCAGTCTCTGTAACAGAGTGGTAAACAAGGTATTTTTATTTACTTACATCTGGCTGTCTTTGAAGGGTAGCATTTTGGTATTTACAAATGAATCTCTAGAGATCAGGATGGAATTTACAACTTTTACAACCTGTTCCAAATATTGTCTTACGAGCAAGTAATGCTGAGTGTAGTGAAACTTACTTTTAACACTTAGATCCTGAAGTTTTTGCACTAGATTGTGCCTGAGGCTGGAATTTGAAACATTCGTTCTGGGAAGTTATCCCACTGAAAATTTAGGATCAGGCTGTTAAGGCTGAATATACTGAATATCTCAGATTTTACATTTTCTGTTCATGCACATTGATAATTTAGGGATAATTTATACATAGTTTAATGTGTCCGGTAATGCTTATTGTTTAGCTTGTGTGTGATCTAAGAATTTGTCCTTAGACATTTACTGCAGTTTCTGAAGGCTTTTGCACTCATAATTTTGTATGCCATACACCAGGATGGAAATTCTAGTCTCTCAGAATCATATTAAACAAACTAGACCTGTTATGTAGGTGTTGTCTAGCATAGTCAAGAGCTGTAAACAGTTTCCCAGATTTTAGCCATTTGTCATGGACATTCAAAGTAATACTGGTGGAGGGTCTTCTATAGATATTGGCTTGAAGAGGGGATTCCCAGATTGGAAAGCACTCAGTAAACTACTGGAGAAGAGCATAGGACAAGTACAGATAAGACTGTTACTACTGACACAATTGGATTTAGGCCAAAAAAACATTATATTGCATGGTGAATGCAGTTGGACGATGAGAAGTGTGAATCAATGTAAAATGAAAACCATAAAGCAAGAAATAGAAGTTTAAAGATTGTATTACCATTATTTAACTTAAACACAGAATACATTATCCGAAAGGCAGGACTGGATGAATCCCAAGCCAGAATTAAGATTGCTGGAATAAATATCAACCACTTCAGATATGCAGATGATACCACTATGATGGCAGAAAGTGAGGAGGAATTAAAGAACCTCTTAATGAGGGTGAAAGTGAAGAGAGCAAAAAAAAAAAAAAAGATCAGAAAATCAACATCAAAAAAAAAAAAAAAGATCATGGCCACCGGACCCTGGCAAATAGAAGGGGAAGGTATGGAGGTAGTGACAAACTTTATTTTCTTGGGCTCCATGATCACTGCAGATGGTGACAGCAGCCATGAAATTAAAAGACGCCTGCTTCTTGGGAGGAAGTCGATGACAAACCTAGACAGCATTTTAAAAAGCAGAGACATCATCTTGCCGACAAAGTCAAAAAACCATAGTCAAAGCTATGGTTTTTCCAGTAGCGATGTATGGAAGTGAGAGGTTCCATACATCACTACTGGAAGAGGGCTGACTGCCAAAGAATTGATGGTTTTGAACTGTGGTGCTAGAGGAGACTCTTGAGAGTCCCCTGGACTGTAAAGGTACAAACCTATTCATTTCGAAGGAAATCAACCCCAAGTGCTCACTGGAAAGACAGATCCTGAAGCTGAGGCTCCAATAATTCGGCCATCTCATGAGAAGATAAGATTCCCTGGAAAAGACCCTGATGTTAGGAAAGTGTGAAAGCAAGAGGCTCTGGTCCATGGGATCACAAAGAGTCGGACATGACTTAACGACTAAACAA